GGGATATTTGTACTGTGTGTTGGACGTCAGACCCATCGCTTGTGGACTGCCACCATGATAAGAACCCCTTAGCACACAAACACAAATGATGCCGTGATTATTTATGGCTCTACAGGGCTGCTTGATCTGTCAGCAACCGCTTTCCCAAGAACTCGCCATCTTCCATTTGTTCAAAAATGGGCAAATAAGGTGAATCACCTCAGTGTGATGACATCGAAGTTTCCTGTGTGAAGCCGGGCCATTAGTACTGCAAGGTCATTAGCCTCTGAGCCACTGTTGGTAAAATAGACAACCTAGAAAAGAAGACCATCATGATATTAATGCTAAACCACAAAAGGCTATTTCCGCTTGTTTGAGGTTGGTAATTTTTTTCCCCATGTTTTTGAAAGAAGTATTTTATGCTGCATTAATTTGATTTAAAATACAGCAAAACCATAATATTGTGGAGTATTATTACAATTTAAAATAACCGTTTTCTATTTTAATTTATTGATATTTTATATTTTAAAATATATTTTATTTATTTGATGGCAAAACTGAATTTTCAGCATCATTACTCCAGTCTTCAGTGTCACATGATCCTTTAGAAATCATTATAATATGTTGATTTGGTGCTCAAGAATCATTTATCAATTTTTAAAAACAGTTGTGCTGGTTTTTATTTTTGTGGAAACATTTGATTATTTGATGAATAGAAAGAACAGCATTTATTTGAAGTAGAAACCATTTGTACCATTATAAGCTTATTTACTCTCACTTTTAATCAATTTGTCCTTGTCCTTGACTCCTTCCTGATATAAAGTATCAATTTCATAAAAAAAAAATAAAAAAAAACTGTCCTCAAACTTTTAAATGGTAGTGTATGTCAAAATGTGCATTCCAACTTTCTGATGCCATGGACCCAAAATATGATGTGAGGAGCCCCATTCCCAAAATATAAAGGCATGTAATAATGTAATAATAATAATATTATATATATATATATATATATGTGTGTGTGTGTGTGTGTGCGTACCTACTTAACCATATTTTGGGGACACATTTGTACCCAAAAGTGAGCTAAACCTGACAAAATCTGACCAGACATGTGTGTGTGTGTGTGTGTGTGTTTTAATTGGAAAATATTGCATTTAAAATCATTTTCTTTTTTGTATCTTCTGTAACAGTCCCTTAATTTTGTAACAATCTTATGAACTCCAACATTAGAAGGCACAATGAAATGTAATTGTCAAATTCTGTATATTTATACTTTATTTATTATGATTTTTACGTGATTTATATTTTTAGTAATTGATATTTGACATATTATACTGTATATAAACAAAACTTTTTTCATTTTATATACATTATATATTTTGGTTAGTTTTTTAGCACCCCCAGACTCCAGTTTGAAAGCCCCTACAGTAGGCAAGAGTATGCTGCATGTAATATACTATATCCACAATGCAATGCGCTCAACCTTCTTCTTCCAGCAATGGCAGTGGCTCCATCAATCATACAGTACCTTCAGTGGGTCTGGCAAAAGGGAGGCTAGTTTCTCTGCATACTCCTGCATTTGTGGATTCACATAGATGGCTGTCGTGTGCCATAAACGCCTCAGCTGTTTCTCAGCCGTCTCTGTCACTTTCCTGCAACCATATTCAAACTTCTAATTAAATTTGAGAAATAATTCAATTTTGTAAACAAAAATAAAAAACAGCAGTCCATGTAAGAGCTCAGGGCAATAACCACTTGAACAAATCCATATGCATTAATCTAATTAAAGCTTAGTCATTTATTTCATTTCAAGCTAACTGTACTGCACAGTCATGAAATAAACACAAATGCTGCATGGCAACAAATTGAACCTTACGGGTTACAATGTCCTACACTGACAGTGACGATCCCCGCAAACAAGTCTAGATAGCGTCTTCCATCCACGTCCCACAGCCACTGCATATAACCTTGGTTTATGAAGACTGGCTTCTTGTAGTATGTTACCTTCATAGTCATGGGGTTGCAGTTGTGTTTCCTTATGTCTAGTAAACGGTCTTTAGACATACCCTAAAGGAGAGATTCATTCATGCTTAAAAATGATTTGATTTCTCTCTGATGATTATTATTATAAATGCACAAACCTCTTACCTGATATGGTTCAGGTTTAAAGTCAAATGGGGGGATCTGGGGCAGGACAGGTGGGGTGTGTTTCATTGCTGATTTTTGGCAAATCACACCTGGGCAGAGATACATTTAGTGCTCAGTAATCCATAGAGGCAGTTATGTGCCAGCTCTTATGCAAAAGGAATATTTTTATCTTTTAAGATGTAGGAAAGCCCTGCCCTGAGACCTGCTAACCTCCTGGAAACATTCATTGGCATAGAAGATGTGCAGTGTTGATATAGGATACATTTTATATATCATCATCATCATCATCTTTATCATATTATTAGTATAGTATGTTAGTAGTATCAGTATTATTTTGTATACTGCTTCGTTTTTCTACTATTTTTAAATAAGATAGATAGATAGATAGATAGATGCAGTGCTGATATGTATTCTATCTATCTATCTATCTATCTAACAACTTTAAGCAGTAAGAATTTTATGATGTATCCAACTTGAACATAGATAGCTAGATAGAGTTGTTGATATTATATCTGACAGGGCAGTCATTCGCTATCAAAGAATACCATAGTATCGCCATGGTAATGTCCAAACATATACTTATTTTTCACAAATCGTCAGAACACCATTATGATTTCGTGATGCGATGCTCAGAAATCCGGACTATAGATTCGTTCGAGCCGAAATACGCAAACACAATTTAAATGTTCCGGTCACTTTAAATGTGAGACAAATGCTGCATTCTTACCGCCACCTTTGTGGAACTTCACACACGCATCCAGTGAATTCCACGGGTCCGTTTTCCCTAACAGAGCCGGACCGTGCAGCCGAGAACAGACTTTATGCATTACTAGTGTTTTTAAGACAAATTCTTCTGCAGCAAATCCACAAATTAAGTGTTGATTGCGGTGAATTCTACCCCAGTAGTGCTCGGGGAGGGGCAAGCTCAGCCAATGGTATGTGGGGGTAAAGTCTGTATCAAGGCCTTAGAAGTAATTTTTCACAGAGAGCAGGGCTGTTCATTTGATTTGAGATTGAAGTGAGATTCTTATGCTTATGTTCCAGTTAATTTATGGCTAAAAGTATAGGAAATCAAGTTTCAGTTCATCAGGTTGTGTCCATGATAATAATGATAGATAAATAAATGTAAATGTCCAGAATATAAAATGTACTGTAGAAAGTAATAGTAGGCTACTGTAGATACTGTAATACTATTTTCAAATAAATGGACATTTATATAATAATAATAACAATAATAATAATTATTATTATTATTATTACAACAGGTTCACTTTTTTCTCTTTTTGTTTTATCAAATGGAAAATGCCCTCATGATCCCCCCACACACACACTTTTACATTTTTTTTCTAATTTTTAATTGCTTTACCATTGTACCAGGCCTTGATTTTTTTTTTTATCTTAAAATATGAATTAGATTTTATAAACTATGATAATCTGAAATAGTCAAGCAATCACTTACAAAACTCTGGAGATAAAGTATACAAGATTTGTTTTGTGACAAATTAGCAGAAAAAAAAAATAATATTAAGATCATAATATCATGTTTTTGGTTAAATGTTTTACAGCAGAATAAAAAGCCATTCTCAAAATAACCACTCCAACACATTTGAAACAATCTGAGCATATGTTTTAATGGTTTTGCTATGTGAATTCACAAGTAATGTTTGTTATGGAATATCAGAACACAGTAAGGATGTATTACACAAGATGTATTTCTTACATAGGTTAACAAACTTAACATCACAAATTTAATTTCAGCAACTCCAGTGTCTTGACAGTAAAGAAAATAGCGACATCATTTCAACAAGACAAGAGTTTTCTTACTGTATAACTCATTTCAATTTAAATAATTCTTTTAGTTAAGAAATGGTTTTGGGTTTGGTAGAATGAAATCAAAACATGATTTCAGTTAATCCCTAAATGAGAATATAATCATCCTCCTGGAGATTTCTGCATATGCATTTTCTTTACTGTAAGATATCTTACTCTCAGATAAAAAGACTGAAATATTTTTTCACACTGTTGCCCCACATTAAATTAGATACTGTTACAAACATGCGTTTTATAGATTTTCCATTGCCTGAGTTAGAAATCTATTATTAAAAGAAATTATGCTTTTCCATGCAGATTTATAATGCATGAAACTGAGAATGTATGACTGGTAAACAATAAAGATATAAGAAAATGTTACGCTACTCACAAATCAACAAAATGAGATGGGATGATTTATGTATGGCTTAGGCAAACCTAAAAGCTATTTATTGGTATATAAATTATCTGTAGGTTACATATAAATGAATTTCTACATATTATATATAACTATTGAATAATTATTTTATATGTACACGTATGTGTAATATAACTTTAGGCATAAATATATATTTAGTAAATGACCCCTTCCAGAAAATACAACTCAGTCTTTTTTTTTATGCATAAAATAAGGCAACGTGTGAAGGTTGACTCTTGCACTGGCAAGAGCTAAAATTTTCCTTGTCTCCATGTAACTGGTTTAATGGTTAGTGATTTGTACATGAACAAGATAACTGTTTGGTTGGATTGAATGCATATATGCCAATCTCTATCATTTTAAAAATATACTTTATAATTTCCTTTTTAATATCAAAACAAATATGCAGTGCTGAATCAATGGCTACCTATGATTTAAGGGTATACAGACTTGGAAAAATAGATTCTTGCAGGGTTAACACTCACAGAAACATACAAAATCTTACAGTAATACATACATTCGGCAGGAGTGTTTAAACAAGTTTTCCTCCACCTGAGAGTTGTAAATATCAAAGGCAAATTCTTTACGTTTGTTTACAATCAGTTCAAATCCCTTTTCATGTGTATATATATACATATATATATATATATTTTTGCATTAGTGTACCAATAAGCAAAGACATTTAAAATTTTATGGCTGAGATTATAACATGTTTCCAGAATGGAATGCAATTTGAAATTTGGAATGCAACCAACTCTGACTGCAAATAATGCTCTTGTGTTTATATAATATGCAGATGGAGTTTTAAGTAATTTCCTTAAAACTAAAAAATAAAAAAATTATATTTATAATTCATTTAAATGTGAAGTGAAATTGGGTGAACGCTTTGATAATACTCAAGATCAGTTCATAAAAAAATAGTCCATGTCCACTATAGCAACAGACCCCATCATGTAGTTTAGGAGTGAACAGCGGCATAAAAAAACATAGTGGCTTTGAACACGTAACAATGCCATGATGCAAGATGCAATATAAAACAATGCATTGTGGATAGTTGAGGGCAACTATGCTAAGTGCTAAGTTTTCAAATCCCATGAATCTCTAAATACGACAAATCATTAAAAGTTAACATGAAATGGCATTCATAACCCATTTTACTTCCAAAATACCATGTACAGTATTTCTCAGTAAAACAGCATTAAATTATACAGTAGGAGAATTCCACTGGCGATTGCTGGATAATGAAAAGTAGGCTTTCCATGAAATTTCCAATGAAAACACAATGCCTAAATGGCTATTTGGCTATTGACTAACATACAGTCAAAAGGAAAAATTGTATCAGAGGCACAGCAGAATTTAAGTGAATTTTCTGAAATGTGTATTGGGATCCATTTCAGTTTCATGTTAACTTTAAAGACTTAAGTGTAAAGAAAAAGAAGATTTTTTTTTTTTTTTGGTGTTTATAAGTGTCACCTCATCAAAGTACACAATCTGTCAAAGAAACAAAATCGATGACTTCTCATACTCTTAAAAATAAAGGTTCCAAAAGGGTGGTTTTCACAGCAACACCATGGAAGAACTATTTTTAGGTTCCCCAAAGAGCATTGCAGCAGAAGAACATTTTAATAATCTAAAGAAGCTTTTTCCACTATAAAGATCCTTTGTGCAATGGAATGGTTCAATGGATGTTAAAGGTTCTTCATGGAACCTTCAAAGCCAACAAAGAACATTTATTTTCAAGAGTCCAGCCTCTTTACAGTGCTTACATAAAAGTTCAGACCTTGGCTCTGAAACAAGACCCTTACATCTAATACAATCTAATAATAAGTAAATATTTTTATAAATATAAATCCACTGAAAAAAAACACTGTAGAGAAAAGCACTTCTTTCAGGGCTTGGCATGAGCTGTTGACAGTTTAGTGGTTGGCTTATTGATTTTGCTGCATTCATGCATTGGACCACTATGTGCTAGTAGGATGGCATTAAGACTGTTGAATCTACATAACCGTTTCCCATCACCCTCATGCCTTCATGTGGCATCCTACTGTTTGATTGGTGGACAGCAGGTTTGCAGGGGTGAGGTGGTTGCTGGGTTGTGCACTGATCAGCCTGGTTGTCCAAGTCCTGGCTGTAATAGTCCACGCACTGATGGGACGTATCCCTCTGCAGAAGCAAAATATTGTTTGTCACTTCTTTGACCTTACTGTAGTCCTCCCCGGCACAATCTAACCCCTCAGGTTCGCGGTTTGGGTCCGAAAGCGGCCTAAGCAGTAGCATATTCTCCGGGTTGACCCTTTGTACCTCTACGTATTCCAAAGAAGGTGACGGAGGCACGCCGGGAGCAGGAGTGCCGACGCCGTCCAGGTTAAACTGGTTGTAGCTTTGAGAATGTCGGCAGGCTGGTTTACTGAAGCGGCCCTCCTGTTGCGGGATGTCCTGATGGTGTAGCTGGTGATAGTTGCTTGGCGTCGTGTGTGGCGACGAATGGTTGAGGATCTCTGGGACGCTGTGGTAGGCCGGTTTCGCAGCTCCCACTTGGTAATGATGGTGAGTTTGCGGTTGAGGAGACGAAAACACAACGGGCCAGGTTTTGCCGCATCCATCGGCGGACTCTGGAGAACCGGGTTCGGGACCCTGGCTTTCACTGCTTTCAGTAGAAGCCCAGCTCGTTTCTCCATGTTGGCTGTACTGATGTTGATCGCTTCCACTTCCACTTCCTTCCCGTCCCTCCATGCACTTCTCCAAAAGCAGAGTGCGACTGTCACAGCTTCCCCGGCCCGAGTCACTGTCCGACGGGCTTTTGGACTTCATGCAGTCCTCTGATAGATCTTTACCATCCAGTACCAACTCTTGCTCCTCATTGTCATACACCTCAAGGTACTCCACCAGTAACTCGTCGTAATCGGTGGTTGGAGGGAAACCTTGGATCACCAAAGTATTGAAAACTTCCTCTGACTTTCCGCTCTGTAAAAGTAAAGCAAGTGAGAAAACTGCTTAAAAAATGCAATTAAAAATGTGGCATGAAGGACGATATCAAAACCTTTATATCCTGAGCACATGCCTCACAAATAATGAACTTGTGAGACATTTTAAAGGAATAGTTCACCCAAAGTTAAAATTGTCATCGTTTACTCACCCTCAAGTTGTTCCAAACCTGTACCAAACCTGTTTCTTTCTTCTGCTGAACACAAAAGAAGATATTTTGATGAATGTTTGAAGAATGCTATTCTTTCAGTACTATGGAAGGCAATGGCTACCAGCAACTGTTTGGTTACCAATATTCTTTAAAATATCTTCTTTTGTGTTCAACAGAAGAAAGAAACTTGTACAGGTTTGGCACAACCTGAGGGTGAGTAAATGATGAGAGAATTTTCATTTTTGGGTGAATTATTATCCTTATTATCCCATAAGGCAGGCGTGTCCTGTCTATACTGTGAAGCTGCTTTGATGCAATCTGTATTGTATAAATAAAAATAAATGTGACGACTTAAATTAACTTGCAATGGTTGGATAAAACAATACTTAATATCATTCAAACATACGTGCCATCAGCTGTTGGAAGGTGCAAAAAACAAACAAATGCTAAGATCCCATTTACCATGCTGATAAAAACCACAAAAAAATGTTGCAATTATGGAGTCTACCTGAAAGCTAACCTGAAATTTTTTTTACATTTGATTTGGACACGAGATGCATGAGTGATCTTTCTATTACCTTCAGCAATTGTTTTTCGAATCCTTTGATTTTTGGTCCAGGAACAGGAGGCAGCAAACAAAGCTTCACACTGAATACAAATATAAAAACCAGAATAAGATTCAAAAAGTTGTTTTTCAAAGGTTAAATAAATGCTTTATAAACTTTTAAGTAGATACAATGTACTTAATTTGGATTTAATTTGGTCTTATTTTTTAGGTCAGTTAAGATCAATTTCTATCAACAAATATTTTCCTGCATGATCATAATATAAGCACTATGGATACTGAAAAGGGACTTATCTAGAATACAGAACAAAAGCTTCCATGTGTCCCGACAGGATTAAGAGATTAATTTTGGATCCCGTTCATCCTTGTACTGTTGAGAATGCCTCACATTATTTGACAATGTAATTAGTCTATCTTTGTCTATTTAAATCTGTGCTGAAAGAAACTGGCCTAAAAACTACATTTGAGAGTAAAGTGAGGTACTGCAATATCTGGATCAAGCCTCTAATGGCAATTTAATCCTACATAATGAGTATTTGTCAGCAAGAACAAAGAGGCAAATGATGTATATAACTGGTCCAAGCCAATTTGATTTCGATCAAACTAAGAGGCATGAATTTTACATTTGCCAGTGATGGTATAAGATGATATTCAGTGCTCTCCACTAATACTGGCACCCTTGGTAAATATGAGCAAAGGCGGCTGTGAAAATAAATCTGCATCGTTTATCTTATTAAAATTTTAAAAAATACACAAAATTCTAACCTTTCATTGAAGTATAACAATAGAAAGTGGGGGGAAACTCACATTATCTCCAATGCATGTTGCCACAATTATTGGCACCTCTAGAAATTCTTATATTCCCACTAATATTTAAATTTTTTAGCACACCAGGGTGACTAGGAGCATGAAATTGTTCAGCCATGACTTCCTGTTCCACAGGATTATAAATATGAGGAACACAAAGGCCAAATTCCCTTAATCATCCTTCACAAGGAGTAAAACCAAATGTTGTGCAGATTGTTGAGCTTCACAAAATAGAACGAGCTAAGAAGAGCTAAAACATTGAAAATCCCCATTTCCACCATCAGGGCAATAATTAAGCAGTTCCAATCGATTAAAGATGTTAAAATCTGCCTGGAAGTGGATGGGTGTCTATATTGTCCTAATGCACGGTGAGGAGGAGAGTTTGAGTGGCCTCTCCAAGGATCTCAGCTAGAGAATAGCAGAGATTAGTTGAGTCTTGGGGTCAGAAAGTCTAAAAAAAAAAATCAACCAACCCCTACATCACCACATGTTGTTCGGGAGGGTTTCAAGAAAAATCCTCCTCGCTCATCCAAAAACAAACTCCAGCATATTCAGTTGTCAGACACGACTGGAACTTCAAACAGGACTGGCTTCTATGGTCAGATGAAACTAAAAAAAGAGCTTTTTGGCAGCAAACACATGTGATGGATTTGGTGTAAACAGGGATAAAAAAGTGCCCCATGCCCACAGTTAAATATACTGCTGGATCTTTAATGTTGTGGGGGCCTATTTTTCTGCCAGAGGGTCCTGGACATCTTGTTCACATACATGGCATCATGGATTCTATCAAAAACCAACAGATAAAGAATGTAAACCTGACTGCCTCTGTTAGAAATTTGAAGAGAAGAGAAGAAGCACCAACATGGAGCTGGGAATCTGAAGGATCTGAAGGAATGGTCTCTGATCTCTTGTCAGGTGTTCTCCAAACCCTTCAGGCATTATAGGAGAAGGAATCTGAAGCATCTGGAGAGATTCTGTGTGAAGGCATGCTCTCTGATCTCTCGTCAGGCATTATAGGAGAAAACTCAGAGCTGTTCTCTTGAGGAAAGGACGTTGCAATAATTGGGTGCCAATAATTGTGGCCAGCGTGAACTAGAGAAAAATATTTGTTTCATAATGAGATTTTCCCCCCACTTTCAGTTGTTTTACTTCAGTGATAGGTTAGAATTTTGTGATTTTTTTTTTTTTTTTTTAATGAAAGATTAAAAGGATAAATGATGCAGATTTATTTTCACAGCCACCTTTGCAATGATAGATTAGAATTTTGTGAATTTTTTGAATGAAAGATCAAAGGGATAAAATGATGCATATTTATTTTCACAGCCACCTTTGCTCCTATTTACCAAGGGTGCTAATATTAGTGGAGGGCACTGTAGAATAAAATGCAAAAACTAATCAGATAAGATATCAATCGGCAAAATAATCTTCAAATATATAGGAAATCAAAAAATTAATTAAAGAAAATAGATTAAATAAATGTCAAAAATAAAGATTTAATAATTTAATAAAGATTTAATTTAATAAATATGAGACATGAAAATGTTTCAGGCTCAAAAACGCACCTGTTTCGTTTCACGTTTAGTGTCCAGGTGAGGATGAGGACGATGAAGACAGAGAATATCGTGATCATGATCCACAGCGAACGCTCTCTGGGTATATCTATATATATATATCACAAACACAAAATCAGGAAATGGTGATGAATAGAGTACATCTCTACTGCAATTTCTTTTTCCACTTATGACAAATCAAACTGTGGTGGCACCAACAGTACTTACAAAACTAGAAAGAATAACAGAATAAACAGTGGGTAAAATTGTCACACAAAAAAACCCCCTCAAAATAAACAAGTTAGAACAGAGTGGTTTTTGAAAATGCTGTGAGCTGGAAACAGGCTGATCTCTTATTTTGTTCTATTTCATGCTCGCTGCCATCAGGTGCGACTCCCACCGGGCCTGACTTTCCATGGAAGCTCCCGGGCAACTGAGGCCCAGCCAGAGCTGCGGCTCAAAAACACACATGGCTGAGGTTGTGCTAGCCAGGTGAAGATGAGTTCATAACTCCCTGGAGAACCTGAAGGCCTGTTGGTATTCCCTCTAGAATTTTCTGAGCTGCTAGATACATATGTGTAGAGCAGATTTGTTCGCAGCCTCAGCAGGAGACCATGGAGACACAGAGTGTGGTCCTAAATCGGCTCTCTGGAGGTGCTGGATGATATTTTAATAGGCTTCACGCATGCCTCGACCTACTGGGCTAGAAATGTTTTGCTTGTCTTGCATGTGTCTAAACTGAAATAGAGCACATGTTTTCAGATGTGACCATTTTTCGGATCACTCTTGGTGCACATTTCATTTTTTGGGGAGCTGGTATTTTCAATGGCTTACATCTATATTTATATAAGGTTCAAAAGTCTGACATTTGAAAATTACAAATGGATTACAAATGTAAGTTAAATCAGAAAATCATAATAAACTCAAACTGTTATGCTGATAATATAATTTAATAATAATCAAATTATGTTAATTTAATATAATAAATGGTTTTTACTATATTAAATACATTTATATAAATATAAAACTAATATATATATATATTTTTTTAAATCTACAGCATTTTAAAATATTAATACAATAAAAATTTAGAGATGAGAGGTGGAAATGTTTCAGGCTTGTTACTTGTTACTTTTATTAATTTTATAATTATTAATAACATTATTAATTAACTTAATTGTATGATTGTAATCATTAAAATAAATGATAAAAAATATTAAACACTTAATTTTGTTGCATAATGCACATTTGTTAATATATCTACTTATAAAGTTGTTTGAATTCAGGTCAAAATAGACGCCAGCATCATACTCTTACCTAGATATAAAGAGAGCATAAGCTACTGTACCACTGCAATTACCTAAGCCAATATTTTTTTTATAAAATTTATTTAAAATAAGTAATAAAATATTAAATAAAAAATACAAATATCAAGTACTATATATGTTGATAATATGTCTACTTATACTTAAATTAGTGTGAATTCAGATCAAAGTAGATTTGATCATTTTTAATATTTATCAAGTTAGCACTTAAACTTATGACAAATACATCATCAGCAATAATCATCAGTTACATATGTTGTCTGAGCCAATACTATTGCTCTCAGGTTACTCTGTCACTAGGCAATCATTATTGGTCATGCCTCTGTGTTACTGAAGCACAGCCTTTGGGGGGATAATCTGGTTTGAACTAGTCCCTGTTGTTCTGCACATCTAGCCTCCCTCACGTTTCTGCGGACTAATGAAGACATAAACCCAGACTGGGACAGTCAATGATTAAACTGCTTAGTGTAACAGCTGACTTCATGTCGGCTCACTGGCTGCATGTCCACTTGCTCTCAGCGTTCCATTCATTTAAGATCTTGGATAAAGTCACAAAAAACAACAGCTACTTTTGACCATTTCTAACTTGTTGGCTTACATTCAAGTTGGTTGGCAATACTAGTCCATAATACCAAGAAAACAAGCATGTGAAGTATGTTGTAAAGATGACCAACTGTAGATACTAGATGTCTAAATAGTCGGGTGAAAACAGGGTAACAAAAGTCCATCTCAATATTATCTAGACTTAAATCTAGTTACATTTCTACAAATGTAACTGATAATTAAACATTTTCTTTTTTTTTTCAAACCCACCTCCCATTCTTTATCTTTTTCTTGTTTAACTCGTAGCTGGTAAAGTAGCGTGATCCACCCTGAGCGAGTGTCTGCGGTTCGGGGTTTCTCCCAGGACACTCTCACGAACGGACCCTGTTCATCATGGACCACAACTGCTGTCACGTTCTCTGGAGTGTTTGGTTGAACTGTGGGTGAAAAGGAGAGGACAGAATAGTAAATATACCACAATTAAACCTTCCTGCTGATCACTCACTTCAACACAATTATTCTGATTTGTACTAATATTTTTAACAGTACATTTAATTTTGAGTGTGTAAAAGCCTGAAATGTGAACCATACACTAGACTACCAAGTTTGGGGGCAGTAACATTTTTGGAGTTTGGAAGATGTTTAGGCTGCATAGGCTATATTTGATAAAAATTAGGGCTGCCCCCTAATAGTCGACTAATCGTTAGTCGACCAGAGGAGGCTTGGTCGACCAACATTTTTTAGTCGCTAGTCGCAGAAAAAAAAATCCACATTGGCAAAGTCACGCAGATCGTTAACGGCTGATCTATGGTAATACAGTACATCCGGCAGGACATCCAAACGCTTGCCTATCAATCATCCACCACAAATATGGCTTATCATCTGAAATATGTAAGTAGTAGCAACTTTACATGGCCGCTCAATCTAATGTTAACCTAGAGAAATGTACGCTATATTCAAGTGTCTGTGTGGAAGCTGAACATTAGTGCTCACTGAAGGACAGATGGAGGCGCCGGTGCGCTCACTTGCTCTTAAAGCAGCACTATGTAACTTTTGGCGCTCTAGCGGTTAATAAACAGAACTGCACACATCCCGCGGAAGAACATTCCAACCGGAGCTACTTCTCTAATGCCGAGTACACACAGCACGATTTTCAAAGACGTCGCATCACTGTTGGTTTCACACTGAACGACTATCTGGGGTGGCATTCAGTTGCTGCTGTGTTCACACTGCACGATGGAACGATGACAGGAGGTTACACACTGCATGACTTTACAATAGGAAGAATCGCCGACAGCTCTGTCTGGTGCAGGGTTGCCAGGTTTTCGCTACAAAACCCGCCCAATTACTACTCAAAACTAGCCTGAAAATAGCCCAATTGCTTTCGAGGGGATCCCCCAGTAAAAACCGCGTTCGGGGGGGTAAAATACAAATTTTTTTGGCGGGGTTCTCCTGGTACAATTCACATTCCAGAGCCTAAATATCAGGTTATTGGGGTCGGCATAAGTTTGTCTATGGCGATTCACGCAGGTTTGTGTTATGCCGAGTTCACACTGCACGATTTTAGCCCGATGTTTCACTCGCCGACAGGTTTTGCGAAATCGCCGACAAATGCCCGAAATTCACATTGCACGATGGAACGACGACAGGAGGTAACACGCTGCATGATTTTACAATAGGGAGAATCACCGATAACTCTGGTGCAGGGTTGCCAGCTTTTCGCTACAAAACCCGCCCAATTACTACTCAAAACTAGCCTGAAAATAGCCCAATTGCTTCCGAGGGGGTCCCCCCAGTAAAAATCGCGTTAGGGGGGTAAAATACACTTTTTTTTTTGGCGGGGTTCCCCAGGGTACAATTCACATTCCAGGCGAAACTCCGTGTATATCTTTGCCTTACAGACATTAAAATATATCTATAGAGAGTGAAATGTATACTTTCAAATTAACCAATTCAAATGGAAAACAAATATTCTCAGATTATGTAATCCGTTTGAAACATGCATGCAGGCGCATCACTACTGCGGAGATGACTAGTCGTGTCGCCGAGTTCATCTCTTATGCCGAGTTCACACTGCACGATTTTCAAAGACGTCGCATCACTGTTGGTTTCACACTGAACGATTATCTGGGGTAGCATTCAGTTGCTGCTGTGTTCACATTGCACGATGGATCGGCAACAGGGGGTTTCACACTGCATGACTTTGCAATAGGAAGAATCGCCGACAGCTCTGTCTGGTGCAGGGTTGCCAGGTTTTCGCTACAAAACCGGCCCAATTACTACTCAAAACTAGCCTGAAAATAGCCCAATTGCTTCCGAGGGGGTCCCCCCAGTAAAAATCGCGTTAGGGGGGTAAAATACACTTTTTTTTTTGGCGGGGTTCCCCAGGGTACAATTCACATTCCAGGGCCTAAATATCACGTTATTGGGGTCGCTTCAACCTGCTGACATGAAAAACAACCGGCGGCAATCGCGGATTTGGCAACACTGGTCCGCAAACTACGTTTCATATAACTCCTCCCCAACTTTCCCGCTGCCCTGTATCGTGCTCTCTCATTGGCTATAGGCCATCGCCGATGTGTTTTTCAGTCAGAACTCATTTCACACAGCAGGCTTTATGCGTGTGCTTGAGCGCATATTAGGCTATGTAGGCAATTAAAGGCTCATTATATTGATTTAAATGGTTTATTAATAAACGTGCGATTAGTCGACTAATGCTTAAAATGAACGACTACTAGTCGACCAGAAAAATCCTTAATCGAGGGCAGCCCTAATAAAAATACAGTAAAACAGTAATTTTATGGAATATTATTAAAATTATTTTTCTAATTGCAATTAAAAATGGCTGATTTCTTAAAATGTAATTTATTCCTGTGATGCAAAGCTGAATTTTCAGCATGTCAGTATCTTCAGTGTCACATGATCCTCCAGAAATCATTCTAACATGCTGACATGACTTATTATCATTGTGAAAACAGTTGATACACATACATGATGTTTTGCTAAACATACAGTTCACAAGAACAGCATTTATTTGAAATAGAAATCTTTTGTAACAACGTATAGGTCTTTACTGTCACTTTTGATCAATTTAATGTGCCCTTGCTCAATAAAAAAAAGACTCCGAAATTTTGAATGATAGTGTAGACCTTGACAGCCCCTATAGTAACTTAAAGGGGTCATATGATGCGATTTCAAGTTTTCCTTTCTCTTTGGAGTGTTACAAGCTCTTGGTGCATAAAGAAGATCTGTAAAGTTGCAAAGACTAAAGTCTCAAATCCAAAGAGATATTCTTTATAAAAGTTAAGAGTCAGCCACACCTACCTAATACAATAATGTACAGTATTTGAAAAATAATGTGTTTTTTGAACATTAAAGCATGTCAACATATTCTGTTACACCAAATACACCAAATAATGATCTTTAAAATAGCATCATATGACACCTTTAATGCTTTGATTATACAGAAAAGAGTTGCTGTGAGAGTTTTTTATAAAACATCCCATTTAAAAAAAAAGTCATGCAGGTTTGGAACCGCATGAGGGTGAGTAAATTACATCATTTTCTTTTTTGCTTATCTATTGTAAAATTCGGCACTAACACACAAAACTAGTTGGTTTCCAGTTTCCAGTTACTTTTGCACGCAAACTTGCTGAAGAAGGAAGAAAGAAAGAACAGAAAAGTGTGCTTCGTATTGTGAATGAATGTTTCACCCCTTCAGCATAAATAAAAACATTAGTTAAAGTTTAGTCTCGGTTATAGTTGTACATACGAGTTAATGATAAGACGGAATTGCACTGAACGAACAAAACGTCAAATCAAAGGAACTTGACATGGCAAACTGTGCGGGATAAAACTAAAATTGCTACTAAAAGTAAACAACGAGAATCTTAATTTTTAGATTGGTAAAAAATGCCTTATGGCATAACACAGTAGAGAACATGTGACCAATGAAAATGGTGTGTAATGTTTTACGACCCAAAGGACAAAATAATGCTCTATCGCAACAGTGATCCCAGACAGGCAACAATAACTTGCCTCTTATTGATGACAATCTGCAACAGTGGTCTGTACCGTCTGTTATGTACTAACTCACAAAATTACAAACAAATGACACATCATGCAGGAAAGAGCATAATGTGAGCGGGATGGAATAAGAGAAATAAACAGAGATGATAAATAAATAGAGGGGGTGGTACAGTACAAATAGTACGTTCAAATGAGTTGATGACAGAAACACATAAGCATACCTATATAGACCACATCCACCTCCACGGGGTCTGAAATGTTCTTCCCCAGGGCATTGGTAGCCACCACAGTGATGTTGTAGTTGACCCAAAGCGATGTGTCGTTTTTGTTGAAGAAACACGAGTTCTCGCCTGCGGTTCTGTAATCTGGGCACTCGTAGACCGTTTCTGAGCTGCATATGAGAGATATCAACAGACACGTTTACACTTATACAAATTAGACACCGAAATAAAAATACGAACATTTCTACAGCTAGTTTGTGTCTGAAAACTGTGACAATTTATAAGCAAAGTGGAAAAACTTGCACTCCTAATCAGATAAACAGTATTTTGGTGATGAACATGCCGACAATAATACTCATGTTGATATCATACAAATATTAACTAATCTTGCTCGGTACATTTATTATGTTTGGGTTGAAAAGAAACTGATGGCATTTTGGCCATGTCTATTAGCTTTGATGCTAATCTATACTACCATACAAAACGTTTTTAAAGATATTAATACTTCTGTTTAGCAAGGATGAAATTAATCAAAAGTGACAAATACTTAAAAAAAAAAAAAAAAAAAAATTTCAAATAAACATTTTTTTGTTTTTTAATTAATCAAAGAATCCTGAATAAATTATCATGGTTTCTATGAAAATATTAAGCAGCACAATTTTTCAACTTTTAAAATAAATGTTTATTTTTTTGTGCACCAAATCATGTGCATATTAGACTGATTTCTGTAGGATCATGTGACGCTGAAGACTGGAGTAATGATGCTGAAAATTCAACTTTGCTTTACAGGGATAAATTACATTTTAAAATATATTCAAATAGAAAACAGTTATTTCACATTAATACTTTTTTACTGTATTTTTCATGAGATGAATGCAGATTTGGTGAGCATAAGAAACCTCTTTTAAAAAAATCTTCAAACAGTATTGTATATACAGTACTAGTGTACTCCTTAAAGTTGACAAAATAAACCTTTTTTATTGCAGTTATATGCAATTAAAATACAGTCTTTTTGGGGGGAAAATGGCCCCAAAATATTGATGTTTCATTATGATGATGAAAATGCTGCTTCAGTCAATGTTTGTCAATGCAGGAAAGAAAATTTGCTCTTAAAAAAACATATCACTATTCACTGATTGTAGCCTTGAAATATTCAGCACATCCAACTGTATTAAAATGAATTCTATGAACTCTATTTGGTGCAGTATTACACGTTATTGGGTTTGTGTACAGTACTTGCTGAATCTCAAAGCTGTAATGTTGGCATAACACTTCATGGCACTAACAAGGATCTGCTCTGGTGAAAATCTGAGGAGTTTTATATTTGACAAGGTGTGTGCGGGCATGTGTGTGTTGGCTGGAGGTATGTCATGTATGCTTTCTGATTATTTCACATATGCGCTCAGAAACAGAAAGTAATAAACACATGGCAGAGAAAATCTAGATTAAACCATTCATTACTGGAGGAAAGAGCAAGGCCTTTGATATTTCCTTGGGAGACAAAGAGATGAGTAAAGATGGCCATTATAGACTGAGTCTACTCTCAAGATAATAAAGAAATCCTTGAGACTGACTTTTCTAGATGGTAGTAGAGGGCGTAGGTGGTTGGCAGGCCTCCATCACCTCCAGGTTCCCACCAGCATGTGAAGGTCTCCTTCTCTGGAGAGCGACAGCTTGTGAGTCTGGGTTTGCCTGGCGGACTGACACCTATGGATATATAGTGCCCATTTAGAGTACATTAGTTGAATTCAACATCATGTTACATTAACCTTTTGTAAAATAGGTCTTTTTCTGTCTGAAACATACATAAGACTATTCATATGTAAAGTTACACATTCGAAAATGTAGGATTTACGCAAATTTGTTTGCTTTGTGTTACATTAATATGGCTTACATTGTTCATCGAATATACTAACAAAAAACAACCATGTTATTCTTTTAAGTACATGTAAATAGCATGGTACTTAAATATGGTAATCATTCAGTACCATAGTATATATCAAAGTATCGCAACGTAAGAATTTGATCTAACATTTTACTTAAATATCTTTAAATAGTGAGGTAACCTCAATGCTGTGAGATCTTGCTCTTTTAATATAGTATACACCATTTTTATTTGAATAAATATTAAAAATATAAAACACTGATCTAAACAAAAATGTATGGCAAGTCCATATATCTACACAACTATTTGAAAGTTTGAGGGGGTCAGTAAGATTTTTAAATGCTTTTGAAAGAAATATCTTATGCTCACCAAGACTGCATTTATTTGACTAAAAATACAGTAAAAACAGTACTATTGTAACATAGTGTTTTAATATATGTTAAAATGTAATTTATTCCTGTGATGCAAAGCTGAATTTTCAGCATAATTACTGCAGTCTTCAGTGTCACATGATCCTTCAGAAATCATTCTAGTATGCTGATTTGCTGTTCAATAAATATTTCTTATCAATGTTATAAACAGTTGCTGCTTAATATTTTTGTGAAAACTGTGATATATTCTTTGAATATAAAATTCAAAAGCATTTATATGAAATAGAACCTTTTTGTATCATTATAAATGTCTTCACTGTCATTTTGTGTCAATTAAATGCTGAATAAAAGCATTCATGTCTTAAAAAAAACCATACTGACCCCAAAATTGTAAACAGCAGTGTACAGTATGTGTGAAGATGAAGTTAGTCAGGTTGTACTGCTTACTATAGGTTTAAAAGCAATATAACAGAACACCTAACACTGCTCACCTGCTGCTTGCAATATTAATTTGGCAATAAAGGTCAAAATCAGCACGGCCCCAGAGTTCCTCATCGTCCCTCGTGGCTTCTGAACGCCTTAGATCTGTCAGTGAGAGACAAGAGAGGAAAAGTGAGATATTAGATCTGTATGATGAAAGATATACTAAAATAGAGGTTGTTGAAGAGAGTAGACACACTACAGTAACTGTAATTGATTTGCATGTCCATGAACCATCTGTGTTTTAGTATAAACATAAGATACTGTATATAGTACGTGGGACCATTAAAATAAAACACACACTGAACTCACTTAGAAAACTTTCGTTGCCGCCTGAAAAAACTACTTACAGACCAGAGCAGTCAAATATGCCACTTCTGATATTTTATGAATATGACCATTAAAAAAAATGCAGTTCTACTTCACATCAAAGCAAATCAAATGAAAACTTTTTTCTGAATTAGCATTTGTTGGATTGTTTGTTTGTTTGTTTGTTCAGATCAGATTTCATCATTTTTGTTTGTGTGCAAATATTCTTCCAGGAAGTTGGAACAAGGTGTTTTTGCAAAAATGTTTTTATCTATACATCAAACTAAAGACTTTGTACTTATGACAGGATGCGGTTTCACAATAATCAAATATGTCCTTTGTCACTCACTGGACATAAACAATATCTATCCATCACGTCTGCACCTTTCAACACTTTCTCAATCATTAGGTCCTTCAGTACTTCTTATCAAAGGACAATATGAATCATGATCTGTTTGATTTTAGAGAACAAAGCAATTCTGATCAACCAAACTCATTTAGTTACTGTAAACTTGAAAGGTAAATCTATATTTCATGAGGTTTTGCAACCAACTGCTTACCAGTTAAAAATATAGTGGTCATCAAACTGCCACTTTCTACATTTTACATGGCCAAAGCAGCATGTAAAAGAACACTATCTCTTAGTGTGGGAAATTTTCCACTACTTTTATAGGGTATTTTTGTGTGTTTACAACCTTGAGGCAAAGGTTTTAAACTCTGCTTTTCAACATCCCCTTTCGGGCCGAAACACTGCTATTGGCATATGTGAAACTTCCAGAATGAATTGCTAAACTAATAAAAAAGGCAGACAGATCCATGCCTCCAATCAAAGTTTTAAAGGTCTATGGAAACAATTTTCAACTTGAACTATAACTGACACACAGCTAAACAAATTTCCAAATGTTAAGCTTTTAAATGGGAAACAAAATACAATTTATTCTCTATACTTTTGTGAGAGCTCTTTTGACTTATGACTTATTGCCACTCAACTTCAGCACATTCATTGGCTAAATTTATGTATGTGTAACAGCTCAAGCTAGTTAAGTTTTGTTATAGACTTTCCAAAGTCTTACTTGTGTTTTAACAGTTTTGTGCCCTACCATACAAACAAGTGACTTAAAGGGGTCATGAATTTAGAAATCAAATTTTCCTTGATGTGTCATTGTACTATAAAAACATCCTGTGAGTTTCAGAGCTCAAAACTTGCTTGTTAGTCTAAATACAGCTTTTATTGAAACCAATATCAGAAAACGACTCGTTTCAGATTTTGTCACATTATGATGTCATGTGAAAGCCTGCCTCTGCAGAATCAGATCAACGCCTACTTCTACATCATCACATCTTTGGCCCCGCCCACTGGAGCGTTAGTGACATGAGAAGGACAGAAGAGCAATAAAGGATCATTGGACTAAAAAAAAAATTGCTACGAACAGCTAAAAAACGTAAAATATTTACGAATCTTTTATATCATTAAGATATTTGTATCAATGCATTTTTATCATTTTATCGATAAGTGATTTAGATTTTTAAATCCCTTAACCTACCCCTAAACCTAAACCTACCCATTTATAGTGAATATAAAACGGAACTGAACAAAATATGCAGGGAAATGACCATTTTAGTAACAATATAGCATTAAAAAGATGTTTTTTATAGTCGCTAATCCCACGTCTACCTCTAAACCTAACCATAATTGGCTATTTCTAGAAAAAAATTCTATTTTATGGTTATGAAGAAAACGCCTTTTGTGTCCCATGGCAAACAAAGTAAATATTACATGATAAGTAATGTTTCAACAATTGCAGAAATATTATTCATTTTAAGGGTTTAAAGTGTAGTCTTGTTTAATATTATGTATTCTTCGAAACTGGTTGGCAGCAGAAATCACACAGAACAGTACGAAATGTTATCATTTCATAAATAAATGAGTAAACTTCATGTAATAATGCAATTGAAAATATAATGCCATTGATATGACAACTTAATACAATATAATAAAATATTAATACCGCATTTTCAATATTCATAAGGATTAATTTGTAAGTCTGTAAAGTTGTTCATACGTAAATAATTTACGTTTTAGGTGTCGTCAATATTGTCAGTATTGTACGTTTAGATGTTGTAAATACGTCAGCATTGTACGTTTCAGTGTCTGTGCAAATGTAAATAAATGAACGGTTTGTAGAACCACATTTTACGTAAAATACATACAAATTCTCATGAGATCACATTGACAGTGACACTGCACAGTGATTCTCTTATTTACATTGTGTTTGCACTGTTAGTTATGATGAAAGCATTTGTGAAAGTGCAAAACTCGAGTTGCGATGACGAGATCACTGCATTCATCGCTAAAACCTTTCATGCAACGGGAGTAGATCTAAATATAATGCTATAATCAACACTCTCCATGATTAGTTAATCTCAACAGCTGTAATAGTAAAAACATAGAAAAAGTTTTTGATAGAGCTCCACACGTAATACTTATTTCATATGCAAAGATGTTAACCAGTCATAGCAACGGGCGTTTCCATTGAAGTCTCACAGCAGACACGCCCCTTCCAACAGAGCATTCAAATCAGAGGACTAAGATCAGGGTAGAAAATAGGGGTGAGCGATTATATCATGATATTTCAAGAATATTTGCGATAACGATATTTATGACGATATAGAAAAAAAAACATGGGCTCGAATGTGCTCTTTGACATCAAAGAATGAATACTTTGATGTCATACGCCGATCAGTCTGCGCAGCGCTGCTTCAAGTCGAACACATCTACTGGGTTTGTGGGGTTGTTGTTGTGCGCGCTAGGGAACGTATATCCGCCATACGTCATCATGTCGCTATATCATTGATATCGCGATATGACAATTTTTTATCATGTAAAAAATTATACCGGTATTATCGTGGACGGTATGATATGGCACACCCCTAGTAGAAAATGTCCTTTTATTTTTAAATTAATTTGCGGCGCGTTAAGGCCAATTTTTCGTGCAGGCAATTTTTTGAGACTGCGCGGACGGTGCGCGTACAACAGCGCATGCACGAGGTGAATGTTGAGACAAAAGTAGGTGGTACTGCGCATATGTATGTAGCTCGTCCGTTATACCGGTATTATCGTGGACGGTATGATATGGCACACCCCTAGTAGAAAATGTCCTTTTATTTTTAAATTATTACAATTTTTGATGTAAAAATTATACTAACATTGTAAATGCACCTCAGGAAACATTATCAAATAATTAAAAATTACAGTTCCCTTTAAAAACAGCAATGTTGAATAGGGGTTGAACAATTATGACATACTGTAGCAGTTTTACAAAAAATCTTGTAACTCAAAAACATTACATTATATATTGACAATATCACCTTTAATGTGCCACTAAACTGTTACACATGCAATATATAATAATTTATATAATCGTAGAATTTTTCTTTCTTTCTTTTTTTCTTTATTTATTTTGGTAAAATTAAGAAATCGGAATGGAATTTTCCTACTTTAAATATGAATTAAACATGAGCAGAAGTCTACAGGACAAAGAAAAGAAAGGTCAGAGCAAAAAAGGTGAATTTCTCTAATGAATAGTCATGAACAATCTGAGCAGCCAAGACTAGGCAAGCTACACTGTAAAGTTTTTAGTAAATCACTGATCACATTTGGCACTAATGTTATTGGCACTATGTAAATTTACAGAGCCAAAGAAACACCAGAGTATGTTAGAAGGATTTGAATTGAGGGATCTCAAGTGTTTTAACAAATAGGAAGCATTTGGGTGGTTGCCTACTGACCAGATTCAGTTGGGAACGCAAACCGAGCCGAGCTGCACCGTGCCGAGCCGAGTCATACCACGCAGTGTAAAAGCGCCATTTGAAAGCTGTGCGGACGTGGCTGTGCGCTGAGACGGAACAGAATGCGGAAAGTGAAGTATACCCAGCTCTCCGCGCCACTTCGCTAAAGATATGCGCCTCGCCTATTTTTGAAGGTAAGAGTGTGTGCTCGAATGTGCTCTTTGACATCAAAGAATGAATACTTTGATGTCATACGCCGATCAGTCTGCGCAGCGCTGCTTCAAGTCGAACACATCTACTGGTGACCAGATTCAGTAAAAAAAAAAAAAAAACTTTCAATGTGCTCAGTAAGTTATATGCCAAGGTTTTGAGTGAAAAATAAGCAACAGCAATGCCAAAAATTTAGTGAAATACTACATTTACTCTAATTCATCTACGATATAATGTGTAGGATCAAACAAACATCAGAACACTCACAATCACTGTGCAATTTAGGCTTCTACTTAATCTTTTTTGTCAGGAAAAACTATTAAAAACTTAAGTATGTTACCAATGGCTTTGAATCAACTTGCAAAAACCTCAAAGTTTGCCTGTGCATGTAACTGAGCTCTGTAAAGTCTAAATCAATTGCACATCTTTCCAATTAATGGCCATACTAATAAATCTCAAATGATATCTCAAAAATATCTGCATGGATGAGGCCACGACCTATGCACCTCTGACCTGAGCTCATTTGTGTAATGCATAGAAACACGAACTGTCAGAAGACAACAAGTCCTGACTCATACTAGCAAAATATGACAGAAAATTCTCTGGAAACTAAATAGACATGAATTATGCACTTACATCCATTTGTTTTCATTAGAATTTAGCCTTGAGAATTCATTCAAGCTGCGCCAACTGTGGCATGAGAACACAAGCTAATCAATCAATCTGAATTTGTATTTTCTGCTTTGTCATGCGGGCTGTTTTCTCATTTAACGTATCAGTTTCCGTCACTTTATGAT